GGATTTCTGGCTATGACTGACAAATGGGATTTGTTTTGGAGGTGGTGAATTTAAAGCCACGGTTCGCATCGCCGAAAATCTGTTCAGCTTTTTTGCCTTTTCCTCTCTCCCTCTCCCTCTCTCTCTCTCTCTCTCTCTCTCTCTCTCGCTTCCAATTTTTATTTTATTGTATTTTTATTCTAGGGGTTAAAATTTGATAAGCAATATTGTAATTTATAAATTTGATCTTTGAAATTTTAAATTTATGTTTCTAAAATAATATTAGGGATGTATGTTCGGTATCTCAACTATCGGGAGATAAATGAAATGAAACACGGTTGGTGATTGATGATGAAATAAAGGAAGAATGAGAGTTCAAAGCTGTCGAAAAATTTCACGCTTAGCGGGCAGAGCTGTAGTCACGAACATTGTATATGCAAGGTAAGGAAAAATGTCCTTTCATAAATTTGGTTGGAATACCGTCCTTCTTGGGCTCTTGGAGCTTTAGAAGACAATATTCCTCATGACGAGGAGCAGTTTTACTAATTTACATTTGGAAAAAAAGTGTGAGTGTTGAAGTTTATAAGTAACAATGATCCTTGGATGGAACGTGATGTTGTCGGGAATATATTATCGTTTAATAGTTGAAGAAGGTTTAGAATGTTGGATTTAGAAAATTTTTGTTTGGGTGCTGTCTGAGTTTAGTAAAAAATGGATATTTGAGTTATTATTAAAACTCGCAGTTTTTCTTGATGTGAATATAGATTCATTGCTCAAGTTGAATTCATCTAAATCAAAACTCTGACTTATAAATGATGTATTTTCATCAAATTTATAACCTCATCTAAAATTAGCACACCATGTAATTTACAAATAATATAAGTTAGGATAAAATATTAAGTTAACGAAGTTAATAGACTTTATTAGATACAAAATTCAAAAATTTTAGAGACAAACGGGTAAGATAACCGTCAAAAGGAGTATAACTCAATCGTAATTGACATATATCTTAAATTAAGAAAGTTCGATATTCTACTCAACGGTTAAGATGACCAATTTGATACTAAAAAACAAATTATTTATTCCCAATAAGTAAATATTAATAATATATATACACACACATGACATGGTAAGTTACTTGGAATCCGTTCATGAATTGCCTTCATCTGGTTTATTTTGTTTTTGTCCGCATTTAATTTTAAATTAAATTTCCCAAGTATTGTCTAGTCTATTTTATATTAAAGTTTTTAATATTCATTTAATATACAATAAATCATTTCTTATTTCCATACAATATTATTAAATTTATTACCATTTCAACAATAAATAAATAAATTTATTACCAGCAATACGAATTTAATGATAATTAAATCATTTATTCAACTGAAAGGTCTTTCTCCTGAATCTAACATGAACATACTTTAACATCTCCTCCGGTCTAATTTTCAATTCTAAATAAATATATATATTTATCTTAAAAAAATAAAAAAATTGGATGTCTCTTTTACATTATAAAGTCAAAATGGCCCAATTTTTCTTCTATATTTATGATGTCACTAAAACTCTCTTGTTAATAAAAAAAAGTAAAATCGTACTTAAGTTGTTTAATTAATTGTCAAAGCGAGTTCGATAATTGACGTATATTTCCAACTAAATAGGATTGTGAGTTTGATCCTCATCCATATGTTGGGTTAAAAAAGGAAAAAAAATTGTTTAATTAATTAAGTAATTAAAAATATAAATTATATTCCTAAAATGGTAAGTAGTGAGTGTAAGTAAATTAAAGTGTTCATATTATAAAATTAAAGTCAATTGAGAAAATATAGGTATACAGACATGGAGAGCTAGCTCTTATTACTTGATTATTTAAATAATTATATATAGAGTTTTTTTTTTTGTTTTTTTTTATAAACATTATATATAGAGTAAGAACACAGATAATTGAGAGAATTTAAACTTAAAATACAGCAGAGAGCTGTCAGGATAATTGCCTGGAAGTTTCTTGTTTTAATTTAACAAGGTTATTTTTATTTGGATTTCAGACAAGTTTCTTTTCCCTTACTCCAAAACTTATTACCATTTCAACATTTTCAAATAATAATAATCAGGTTTAAAATACATTCCTTCCCTGATTTAGTCTCTAAACTTTAATTTGTGACGATTTAATAATATAGTCTCTATAATTTAAAATTTGTAAAAATTTATTGACAACTTAGTTGTAATTTATAAACCCATTTTGTCCCTTTCATATATAAGAAATTTAACAAAAAAATTCATGATAGAGACTAAGTCGTTACAACTTTAATTTACATAGACCAAATTGTCAAGACAAATTATTACCAATTTGAAAATATATTGACTAGACCATTACGAATTAAAATCCATAAACTAAATCATTACTTCATACAAAAATCAAATATGTTTTTTAATTGCAACAAGCTTAGCTCAGCGGTAATTGACATATTTATCTAACAAAGATGTCACGAGTTCGAATCCCCCTACATCAACTTGTTCTATTAAAAAAAAAAAAATATATATATATATATATATATATACACACACACACACACATAAAAGTTTTTTATCCTTATAACAATGATAATGTTTAACTATTATTTTTGTCTAATTTGTACTTTCGACTTTGATAAATTAGATATATCAAAACAGACATTTTACAGGTATAAAGAATAAAAATATAAATATAAAGATTAAAATTATTTTTTTAAGAAATTAATATTTTTAAAATTATAAAATTTAAAACAAATATAATCGAAATTATATGGATTAAAATATATTTTTTTAACATAGATTAGTTCAATGGTGATGGATACATATTTACCATTAAGAGGCTGTATTAAAAAAATATATATCTAAATATATTAATAACAACAAATTATTTTGATGGCAACGGTTTGGGGGTAGGTTAGTCATTTAACTAAGTATCTCACGCGCAAGTCATGCGAAAGTGTATGTATATGTGTGTAAGTCACGCGAAAGTATATATACGTGTGTGTAACTTTTTTTTTTTCTCTTTTTTTACATAAATAACGCGAAAATATTTGTAATATTTTGCATAAAAAAATTAATATTTATAATATTGCTAATTGTAATTGCTGTAATATGGAGTTCTACCACTCACACGTGCCCTCTTGAACCTCTCTCTCGTGTAAACGTTATTTTCTTTACCTTTTTATGTTTGTTTTTTTTTCTTTTTATAACTGGTTAAGATATTAACGTCGAACTGAAAAAGGTCTGTGGATTTGAAAATCCACACCCTTATATGTTAAATTAAAAAAATATATATATACCGAACCCATTTATAAGTTGATCAGTTTTTATTTATATCTACTGCCACCTTTACCACTTCTTTTCAAAGGATTTATATTTCTATTACTTTTTAGTATTCATGGAGGTTATTTTTCATTTAGAACAACACATGAAATAATTTTTTGAAAAATAATTTATTTTAGTTGAATAATTACTAGAGTAGGGGATGGAATCCTTTGAAATGATAATAGAAAAATAATGAAATGAAAGAAAGAATGGCTTAATATGATAATTCAAATAATAAAACAAATATTTTGTTAAGGGTAAAACCAAACTATGTGACCCTCGCCAGGAAGCACATGTCCGAGC